GACTTTGGTTGGAAGAGTACAATACATTCTAAACAAGTGAATCTACTATTAACACAAACTACAATAAAGTTGGGATGAAAAGGTGGTCCTCGGGGGGGTTGCACCCTTCAGTCACAGTTTTTCTGGCCGTGGGTTCCTCTCTCTCGGGGTGAATGGTGGAATGGAAGCGGGGTCCCATGAGGTCGCCTGGTGTTCGGGATTTGAAGGTGCGGTCGTGTGCTCACTACCCAGGGTGCCCAAAAAAGTGTGCGCAGCTCCCAGATTCGGTATCGTATGTGTAGTCCCATTTTGAGTCACTACTAAGGAGCCGTTTGCTCCCCAGCGGTAAGCCAGTCCTGCGTTTCTCAGCTGGGTCGTGACAGGTTTATAACTTTTGCGGATCTGGAGAGTGGCCTTTGTGAGATCCTGGAAGAAAGCGAGGTTTGAGTTCTCGAATGCGAGTGGTGTCTTGTCTTTTATTGCCGCCATGATTTGAAGCTTGTCAGGTAGCGTGGTGCACCTTAGAATGACGTCTCGTGCCAATGTTGTTGTGCGGTGAGTAGGGCTTGGAAGACGGAATACACTGTCTATGTTTATCCGTTTGGCCACTGTGTGAGACATGACTGTTGTCAGCAGTCTTCTGATGTAGTGTGGCAGTTCTGTCGCTGTGACCGCTGAGGGGATGCCTCTGATCTTGATGTGAGTACGCCTCTGGCCGTCTTCCAGGGTGGCAAGTCTCAGAGACAAGGTCTGGATTTGGGCTTGATGCTCTTGTATGGAGTTATCCACGGAGGTTAGGTGGGTTTGTACTGTCTGTATTTCCTCCTCCGAGGTGCGAACTCTCGCAGTGACTGCCTGTACCTCCTTTTTGAGTAATGCGGAGTCTGCCGCCAGTAACTTGTGAATTTCTGCCAGAAGAAGTTTTAAATCCCTCTTTGTAGTGGGTGCTGAGTCATCTGGCTGTTCATGCTGCTCAGCTTGAGGGGTGTGCGGAGATTGTGAGTTCCCAGGCCTATCATGGCCTGTCGCTGTGCCCATGTCCCTAACTTGCACATCTTCCGCAAGAGTGGGCCTATGTTGGGCGGGCCTCTGTAGCATGGCCCCGATATCCTGACCTTCTGCCTGGTTTTGGGGCTTTTGAGAGCGCCTACCTTTGCCTGTCATTGGTGTTGGTGAGGCTGGTGGTTCCTGGGATTGCGGGATGTCTGCTCCGCTTGCGGTAAGGCTTCCCAGGATTCCTTCCAGGCTGTGGAGTGCTCGGTAGGCCTCATGCCTGTGCTTCCTCCTCGTTGGTTTTGATGCCTGGAAAAAAGGCATCAGTCGGTTCCTCTTGCCCTACTGGGTCCGGTTCAGTGGGTGATGTGGCTGGATTGTGCTTAATATTGCCGATATCGGCAGGATTAGAGTTGTGGGCCTAGGAGCTTTTGGAAATGGCGTCTGATCGGGTCCGTGGTTAGGCTCCGCCCCCTAAAATTTGCTTTTTTTTCAATATCATTTATTTATTTTTTGCTTTGACAATTTGACTACTAGTTTGGTCTAAAACGTACAACTCCCATGTCCATTTCCCACAATACCAAGTTTAGTGAGCAAACCGCATTCTATATTAAAATATTGTTACCCTGTTCTGCCCTGTGCATTTTTTGTTAACTCCTCTGCACAGCCCAGCAGTATGTGTTTCTGCCTTTTGTGACAAGGAATATCTTGCAGAATGTCGTTGATGGTTATTGACAGTATGTGACACTCTTTCATGTAAGAGCACTCCCTAGGGCCTAGCGTATTCGGAATTGATTGAGCTCTGAGCTACAGAATTACAATAATATCCAGCTGTAGGAGCTAGGGGTTGGGGTGCTTAAAGGGTTATCAGGATAATACACAGTCAGCAGATGGCACCCTGGGAGATCACAGCAGGATGAGGGTTATCTGTTAATTGCTCTGCTGCTGGTTAGATATATAGATCATTGCTATTTGCTACTTACTTATATTCCTGCAGTTTTATTTACATGAACACCTTAAAGGGCCAGAAGCAGAATCAACTTTCTATAGGGTGAAACGGACAGCCGTCTGCATACATTGAAGCTCAGGAGTCCCTTGGGGTTTATGTGCCCTGAGAGGATCGCTACCAATATAACAAGGGTCATTTATAGGGTAGTCTCAATTTAACAATAGACATTTAAACACATTTCTGTATTTTACTTTTTAAATGGTTTTATAGATTTTTTTGTTTTATATAAACCGTGTTTATTGATAAATTGGAAACAATACAGAAAACCAAATACACTATCAAATAGCAAAGAATTAAAACACATAAAAGATTTCAATGGGAATACATAAAAAAGCAAACTTATAAATAACTCAGGGTCAGTCAAATATAAATAAAGGATATAGTTAAAAGAAATAAACTGTCACATTCTAAAGAGGAATACAAATTGGACCAATAAAAACAAAACGATACAATTACAAATATTCAATGATAAAACTTATATTTATAAATAGTAAATCAGTAATGATATATAGTTATTATTTTAGCATTTATTCATTAAATATTGCATTAAGGCAAATTACGAGAGGGGAAGAAAATCTCTGTCATGATTTGGTGACTTTTTCTATTGATAGAAATGTTTAGAGAATTGCAAATTACAGGCCCAAATAACTTAGTCTGAAAAATGTGTTCAGTTTTAAAAAATCTGACTATCTTTGCAGTTCACAGGGTTATTCACTAGAGATCACAAATGGTCGTGACCATAGAACTGCAAACCTAAGGCCGAAATGATTCCAATACGGCTGTTTTAACGTCATCTTTTCAATTCCCTTGTTAATTCCTAACATAACAAACACAGGTTTCAATCAACCTTAATTTGACGTTTAGTAAATAAACCCTTTACAAAGAGTAGAAATTGCAATGATTATTCCTTCTGTTCTGACCCCCAAGCAATAAAAAAAGCTGACGACTGTCTCGCTTATTGATTGAATGACTGTCTCTTCCACTGAATGACAGTCTCTCCCTCTTGACTTCCCTTTGTGTATCTTTAAGCTTTATCTTATGTCATTCAACTGACCTATGTGAAATCTCTTGCCTTGATATCCTCTGTCTCTATCTGTCATTACCCCAATCTCTCTTTTTTGTAACTATGTTGGTCTGTTTATTGATCACTGATTCCCTATGTTTCTGTCTTGTGTATCTCTCCCATGGAGAGCTGTATATCTCCCTGTGTGAATGCAATATTTCTCCCAGAGTCTATCTATGTCTCTCTCTCTCTGCTTCTATTTTAGTACACTTGACAGATAAGGGGAGAATGTAACTTTCTAAACTTGCTTTCTGCTCACATCCTCTCTGTACCCTCCCCCACCCCCCAAAAGACTCCTCTTTCCCAGAGCTGTCATTGCTAATAAACAAGCAGACATCTTTATCTAACCCCGAAGCTGGATGCCCTCTCGGGCTAATGGCTTATGGGAACCTTCCATTGATTTGGGTTAATAGAGAATAAAATTGCCTCTTAACTGCATCTTAGTCCTGTTTTTTAAATCACCCTAAATATACACCCCCCTCCGCTCGCCATACAGATAGATGACAGAGAAACTGAAGCATTGTGGGTAAAATCAGGAAGAGAAATGACCCCTGTTGACAATCAGGGTTATTTAACAAGATCTTTTCAACAATGCAAGATGAATCAATATTAGATTTATTGAAATGAATAATCTCTCAGAAAGCACTATTTTGCGCCTCCCTCTTACTAAACTACATTTATTTAAATATCAATGTTCATACATCAAAATTACTCAGATTCACCCTTGAAAATCCCTAACTGGAGACAAGTATCCTCTGCAGTGTAAAACTGCATCACAAGGTCCTCTTAGTTATATTAAAGGAATGCTATAGTGCTAGGAATGCAAATCTGTATTCTTAGCATTATACTTCCCTCTGGGCCCTCCCTCGCGCGCCCCCCTAGCAGTGTCAGGGTTAATATACCCATGCTGTACTTACCCAATTCCAACGCCAATATCCCTGGGCGCTGGGTCGGCATTCCGCCTCCTCCAAAGGTGAAGGTGTGCTAATACGCTTGTGTGACAAGCGCATTACTCCCTCCCTATCAGAACGCATTGCTGCAATGCTTTTCTATGGGGTTCTTACTGACGCTGAATGTCTTAATGCAGAACGTGACCCAGGAAGCAAGAAGCACCTTTAGTGGCTGTCCGATTGACAGCCACTAGAGGCAGTCTTAACCCTGCAATGTCATTATCAAATAAAGAGGAGAACACTATAGCATTAGGAATACAATTTTTTTTAATCCTACCTCTATAATGTTCCTTTAATAGTGGGGCATTGACTCCTTCTTAAAGGGACACTATAGGCACCAAGACAACTTCATCTCTTTGGAGTGGTCTGGGTGCAGTGACCCTGTCCTCTTAATCTTGCAATGTTAATTATTGCAATTTTATTATTAAATGTTTTACTTACTGTTTTTTCCAGCGCCAAGATTCAGTCCCTGTAGCTGCTCGTTCTTCCTCCAATGCTCCTAATGAAAGTGCATGTGTGGCAGAGCTG